ATATATATATATATATATATATATATTAGTTATAGAAACACAAACACTATATCTAGACTAGAAAAACTGATTACTTGCATTGAGATGAGACGAGAACAACCTTGCTTCTTCTTAGGGTTAAGCTGGGAAGTTGGGTGGGTTTTTTTAAAAGAGATGGGAAAAAGAAGTTCAAATGGATTGCAGTGATGACTCCACATCTATTCAGTCATCTGGATAGTCACGACACATTTTTGCATAGGAAATCAGAAAAATGCGTCCTGACTTTCCCGACTGCCTAATATACATGCGTACTGCAAATGATCAGGCTGTATATGTATATGAGATGAAGCAGGGTATAGAAGTTACAAATAGATTAAGCTGCAAACATTGGGGGAAGGATAAAAGTTAAACTAGAACAAATTGCTGAGGTTCTCCCAAAGAAAACAGAAGGAGAGTGCTGGTGACCTCGTAGGACCATCTCATAAACCTGATGCCTGGAAGATTAAGATTAAATAGTAAAAACAGAGGTGACAAAATCCTGATCTTCTTACTCTGATCTGCCCACTCCTGGCCACATGAGCTGCCCAAATGAGTCACTTTCCTTCTCTGGAACCTTTGCACAGTCACTGGAGGGGCAGCAAGTGTTGAAATCACCCAGAAGGAATTGATACTTTGATGTTCTTGGCTCCAAGTATTAGTGACCTGGGGCATGGAGGTTAGTAGCAGTTTTAATCCAAAAAGGGAAGCCAGACCTGTAAAGTAGATAGAGAAAGTGTTGTACTAATGTGTTTACATAAGCCAGGTGGCCCAGGGGCTCCATCTAAAGAGAAAGAAACTTGATGGGTAAGTAAATAACCCAAGAACAGGTCACTGAGAACACTCTTGTCCCGCGACAGGAGCAAAATTCTAAAGGCTTTCCTCCATCTGCAAAAAGTCGGTTGCTTTTATGTGAGTGAACAGGGCTGCTCCTAAGATTGTTCTTGCCCTAACTCAGGGGTTCTGCAGGGGCTGTGCATTGTTCTCAGGCAGGCTGATTCAAGTTCGTCAGCTTTTCACTTAACCAGGAGGAAGGACTAGAATATGTATGGGAAGAACTTTATTCTATAGAGGAGTCCATACCACGAATAATATTGCCCAAAAGTATGAAAAGCTACGCTGAAGAATGTTGATTTCTTTTGACATTTTAAGACTGGCTCAGTAACACTAATGCTTTATGGTTCAGTGTAAATCAGTAAGACAAGACACTCTTAGTAGGGCCTCCATTAAAAAGCTGCAAAGGGAACCAGCAATTAGTGTAATGGCTATGTCACTGGACTCCCACGTAGTTAACTGCGGTTCGCGTCCCGGACCCAGTGGCTTAAAACGTCGGGCACGTGTGCGTGCGTGCCCAGGATCCCGAGAGGAGAATGGAGGAGAAGGGATTGCGGCGTGGCCATCCCCTCTGGGGGGTGATTTCTTGCTTTCTATCTCTCTTTCTCTCTCTGTCTGTCTGGCGAGCGCATGTGCCCTATAGCGAAAAACCTCTCTTAAAAAAAAAAAAAAGCTGCAATTAATTTATCCCATCCTGACTGATGTGAGCACGAGAAGGGAAAGTGGTCACTGCAATCGCAGACTTAGAAGTTAGTCTTTCATTTTAATTTACATAGAGAAAAGCAATGGCATAGCAATGAAGTGATGATATGGTTTACCCTTTTTAAAATTGAGCTGGATTATTGGGGATAGGGACTTATTATAAAATACACAGAAATGACTGAGATGCCCTGTCCTGACTCCACCTCCCTGGTCCTTTCTGCCCATTTCATTTTGAGGTTGACACAACTCTCAGAAATCACCTCTCAGCCACTTCATTTTACAGATGATAAAACTGAGACCAAAGGGTTACGAATAACTTCCTCTAGGAGCTGAGTAACCTGAGCTGCAGGGAGAGAACTATATAGGAAAGGATCTTCCCAGCTCAATCTCAAAGACCAGAAATACAGAAAGCACAGCTGTGGGGAGGTCAGAGGTCACCGCCTTCTAAGTGCTTTGGTCCACGCCTGAAGATCTTGTTCTGTGAGGCACCTAGCAGGTAGCCTCAGTCAAAAACATGTTAAACCACTTCATTAGGAATAGAGGGCCTTCATTTTCTGAGGCATTTCTGCTGAATGGTGAAGAAGGCTTGAGACAAGTTTGCTTGCGGAGAACAAAAGGCAACAAGCAAAACTCACCACCTACTGTCTATCTTTCCACAGGATCCTGTGTTTTTACTGCCAGTCTTGAGAAATTCATGGAAGATACATCAGCAGAAATGCCT